CGCGCTCGAATGCCTGCGGCGACGCACTTGCGACAGTCGTGGCCGCGGGGGATGGCATAGCAAGGCGACGCGGGCGGCCACGGCGTGCCTTCAACGGCTCTGGAGAAATCGCCTTCGTGACCTCAGGGTACTTGTCGACTGCGGGGTTGTCGGCCCCCGGCGCCTCTGCCACCTTGCCGAGGCCAAGCTGTATCCTCTCGCTGACCTCATATTGCTGATAAGAGGAGGATCCCGTGTCCGGGGCGATGGCTTCGCCATGGCGGTTGACATGAACACACCGCAGCAGCCATTGGCTCCCCCAGGGCTTGAGAATTGATGGTAGCGACATCAACCTCCCGCGGTGGGCGCTCGACGACGTTGTAACTACCTCCGCGGCCCCACCCCCCGCCTCCGTAATGCCGCCTTCCTTGGTGAGATCCGATGGGAAAGCCGCAGGCGGCGACTCCGCCGAGTTCACCATGGCCGAGGGCGATATCGCGCCCACAATCGCCGCTTTTGCAGCCGCTCTAGATCTGGCCGCGGCGGCAATGAGAGGGGTATGTTGTGATGCGGTGAGGACGAGATCTGAGATACGACGAGGACGAGGGTGGATTTGCCTACGGCGTTAAAAGCGTGGGCTAAAGGGGAAATAGATGGATGTGTCGTTGGTGAATAAGTAATGGGGGGAGCGTGTGTATGCGTGAATTCAACACTACCCTGGGGGGGGGGTACATTGAGGTTTCCCCCTCTGCTTTATGTCTTTTTGGGGATTATTTATGTCTTTTTTGGGATTATTTATGAAACGGTGTGTTTTGCCGTTTTATGTGGACTTTCGTGTGTGTACACTCCATTTCTCTATGAATTTTCCCTCTAGTCCATTGTATGGATCACCGTTTTTAACTAATGTTTCAGTGTACCTTTCTGCTAGAGAAAAAAGTGCATACCATGAAATGCTGATGTGTATACCTTCATGTTGAATGATCATATAAAAACAGAAAAAAATACTTTAAAGCTTCATTCGACAGCGAAACTAAGAATATGTTTTTAATGACGTGCAGGACGCGCTTCGGTAGTCGAATTGACAACCTAAAACCGTGCATGCCATACAAAACTGGATATGGTAACCATGCTCATAAGAGCATTCTCCAACAATAAGGCAACCCTGCCTTTTTAGGCTTCTGGAGGCCAAAAAACCTCTCCAATAGCTGCCCAAAAACTCCAACATGGTCAAAAACGTTTTTGCATAGCCCAAAAACGCTATGCAACAACAGAGCGGAAGGACACACACAAAACACTATGGAGATGGCCGCTAACACCATAAAGGATCACGAGGCATATTTCAAACATCTCTCCACAGGAATTCTTTGCACACTCGTCATCTATAAACCAACATGGAAGGTTAGGTGGAGAGGAGCATACAAAAAAAAAACTCGTTCTCGAAGAACTGCGAAGTTACTTATTCTCAATGTATCTGGGCAGAAGTGGAGAGTAGATTATTACTAGCAACAAGGGAGAAAATAGATACTAGCAACTAAGTTCTATTTCCTCCGTTCCTAAATATAAGTCTTTTTAGAGATTCCAATATGGACTACATTCGAAGCAAAATGAGTGAATCTACATTCTAAAATACGTCTACATACATCCGTATGTAGTTCATATTGAATCTTTAAAAAGACTTATATTTAGGAACGGAGGGAGTATAACTCAATGCATCTATACTACTATTAAAAGAGCAAACATAAACTCCCATAAAGCCACACAACAAACTGTACACGGGATAACCAGGACCCTTCGATTAAATTAACTTAAACACATCATACCGTCCGTATTACGTCAATGACCAACCAACCAGATCAACGTCTCAGATCAAATGTTCTGCCAAGCAGACGCTATAGTCTGTCAATCGTCCGCACTCCCCATCCTTCGATCCCGGCGGCCCATCCTGCCTGATTTGTGGAATGAATTAGTCCGTGATTTTCCTTCCATGATCCCCTTAATTGCGGAAACAATCGAAGCTAATCTTCCTTGTTTCTCTCCACCTCTTTCTCCAAAAAAAAAACTGCTCCCTCCCTTGCCCGCTTACCTCTCCCACGCGACCACCATCTCCTCTCCGTCGCCCCGCTCTGACTCACCCTCCGCCGCCTCCTCTCGCCCACCCCCGGCAGGCCTCACACTTCCAGACGCCCTCCTCGAAGGAGGTAGCCGCCTCAACTGTCTCCAGGCCCGGTGGGGGCGCGGGAGTAGGCTGCACGTGGTGCTCGACCGGGCGCTCACCGGCGAGGATCAAGACTGCCGCGAGCTCAGTGCTCCTGATGCTCCGCTGCCCGCTCCAGATGCTCGGCCTCCCCTGTCCGCTCAGTGCTCCAGATGCTCGGCCGCGCCCCTAACACGGGATCGTCAACTCCTCTCCCGTCCTCATGTCCGCAAACGCCGACGGTGCTCATCACATCGGCGAGGAGGACCTCGAGGATTGCCGCATGGCGGTGCACGCGTGTAACTGCTCCTCGATCCCGTGCGATGACCGCCGGGTCGGTAACTTGCCGCAGCGATGGTAGCGAACGAGGCCACACCGCGCGCTGGATTGGTGTTGTGGTTGGGCTTGGATCTAGCGAGATTGTTGTGGATGTGTCTTGTGCCTCATGTGGCCAGAACCCTCTCCCCGATTTGGACTCCTCCTTCGGCCAGCACCCCTACTCACGCACTACCTAGGCGGGAGGGCCATAGAAGAGGGCGGACGAGGGGGTTCTCTTCTTCTTCCGTCCAATCCACACACATCACAGTCCTTCTCTTCTTCTTCCGTCGGATTCACACACATCACAGTCCACCAAAGACTTGCTCAGGTGGGGAGTTAGTTAAATTGGGGGTTTCTGGTTTAGTTTGCTGAATTGTGTGTGATGTGTGTGGTGTGTCGTGTAGGGCAAAGGAAGCTTCGGTTTCGCCAGTGGATGTAGAATTGATGGTGAGCATCCCGGATTTCATGCACCTCTACAGTGTCGTCGAGGAGATGGACGGCAGCCCGGGCCTGCATACACATGATGGAACGCACCTTGCCAGCGATGCGGTACCATGCCTGGAGAAGAGATCCTGAGGTTTGTATGAAACATTCTGGGCTTTTTAGTTGAGTGACTGCAAAACTGAAGAATTTTGTGCGTGTAGTCTTTTAAAGTCGATTCAGTCATAGCCTTAGAATTCAAGAGCATGTGTGTCTGAACTTTTTGAAATTATATCAATATATTGTACAATTTTTTGGATTAACAATGTGTTGTAAATTTGTGAGATTAGTTGCAACGTAATTCAGTTCAGTAATTCAGTGTTTAGATGTACACGATACTATACTAGAGCTCAGGATTAAAATGTTTGATCGCTCTCTCTCATAAGCAGTTCTGCATTTCGCAAGTCCTACTGACTTTTCTATGTGTGCTAGGAGGAGAGGATATTTGGATCTGAGTACGTGAAGGAGGAGCAAAAGGATATTCAGATTTCTATTGCTCCTGATGGTATTAGATAACTGATGAAAAGTGGATGTTATACGGACTGACGAAACTGCTATTTCACCTCAGGAAGTAAGTAAAGCTTGAGATAGTTGTTCCCCGGCTTGCTACCTTGCATTTGGGAGCTCACTGCTAGGTCATACAAATGAATTCTGATTCTGATGTATGACTAAAGGTGAAGATTTACAGTGATGCATCATAACTGAAGCTATCTTGTCGAGGATATAAGTTGTTTGCTTGTTATACTTAAATTTGAGGATGCAAATTCGGAACCTCTAATTTGCATTCCTAATTTTTAATAGTCCTTTTAGTGATGAACATTTTAAGGGTGTCAGGGTTGATATGTGCTATAAAAACCCACATGATTCTTTTAGCCTCTTTCATTAATGATGTTTCCTCATCTTTTGTACTACCGATTATTATGGCAGGAAGTCTCACTATTGCACAACTCAAGTCTGCCAAATATACTAATCATTTGTATTTTTGAAGTTGTAGATGATTAGATTTTCAGCGGAATTTCTATTGTAGCATACACATCGTGGCAAGCTGACATTGACAAGCAGAAATCAGATGCCTCAAGTTCCTGAAGTTCATTGCAAAAAAAGAAAACTTAGTAGACTTAATGAGTGTAGACAATGGAATTCTCGATTTTTATGTGTGCCATTCAAAAGATGTTGCTTTAGGACATATCTTGGAACTTGTACATTGGCATGATATCTCATAAGTTACAGGGGAATCATTGATGCCACATTCGAGATCAGAGTTAGTCTTTTCTGGAGGGAATGATCAGAGTTAGTGAGGATGAGGGGACATGTTTTTGTTAGAGTTGTCTAGGATGATTTTGGCTGCTGTTTTGGGCCTTTGCCTTGCTGTATGGATCCGGTTGTAAAACTGTCTGCTCCTACTAATAAATACGGATTACTGCTGTCAAGTTTTCAAAAATAATATGCTTGTTTGTGATGGAATATGAGTGTACTGATGTTTGAGATGATTATGGCTCATTGGTGCTATTGGATTTTTGGATGACCATGCATTTTTTACAATGACTAGATTCATGTTTGTCTATGCATTGCAACTTGCAACTAGAGAGGTTCAAAAATCTTACAAAATATTTTCTCTGCAACTATTCAGTTAAATCTTGCATCTGGAAGTTTATATATGATGTTTTCTAGGTTCATAAGTCTAACTAGATTAATGAGTTTTTTTGTTCTATTGTGCTATCGTGCGTTGCACGTGCAATCTTACTAGTAGCAGAAAGAAATGTTACTGAATCACATAGTCCATGTTCATGTTCTTTCTTACCAAATATACACCTATGCATTAGTTATGCATGTTTGCTTTCAGTGTGAAACGAGTAAGGATTTTTGTAAATAACCAGGGCAAAGAAAAAAAAGTCTTATTCTAACACATCAGAAGTAGTTAAAATGAGGCCAACCTTCTAAAACTCAATAGGCTTCATTTGGAATCCTGAAGGTTCTCTTGGCACATGCTTCCAGCTTGGTTAAAAGGTCTTAGATAACAGCAGCATCGTCAACTGAGGCACTGGAGGTTAGTAGCCTTCTCATGTGTTTCAATCTTAACCCCACTCTTTGGCTCAAATTCACGCACTGCAACCTTATTTACTATATCGGCCGGATTATCCATGTTATTCACCCAGTCCGGTATGGGGATCCCAAAAGACACCGTTCTCAATATGGAAGCAGACAGTATAAATTGAATGTGAGATGAATCGACAGCTGAGAATTGCACCGGGCAAGGGAAACGCTTAAGGGCAGACCAGAAAGGAGCACCAGTGCTAGTGGCAGCATCTTCAGGAAATGTTAATGTTAGCTGCTTCACACGATTAGAGAAGTAATCTTTAAACCTGGCAAAAGAAAACAAATGTTATTACATGGCATCTGGAGCACAAAAGATACTGCCCTATTTGTTGGCAATATAATCAAAGTTTTTAACTTCAAATAGCTAAGATGAAAAGAAGGCGGAAGAAAGCCAATAACAAATTGTTGAATTCATAGGGGCATGTAGTAGAGATATATATCGTACTTCAGTCTTGCCCAGGCTATGCAGTCTTCTATCGAATCGCTCCTTGTCAAGGCATTCACGTACACGCTCCAACAATTCCCTGGCTTGAGCATCACCTGCCTTTCTCATAGCAGCAGCATATTCAGCAGGATCATACATAAATGAGTTCACTTCATTTGGAGTTTTCTCTAGCAGAGACCCTCAAATTCTGAGCGAGCCCACGTTAGACAATGCTCAATATTGTGCGGAAAATAATGAACTGTGCACATTGGTGCCTGTTTCTCAGGAGGATCTCGTGAAGCTCCATAGTTTTCAGTAAGGTCACGAATCACCATCTGTTTCTGGACCCAGCGTTCCAGATTCCAAGAGTGGTTTCTGGAAGTACAGGCATCCCATGTCCATGTACATCCTGGCATTTACATTATCAAGTGCATTGATGACAGCATCAAGGCCCTCCCAGAATGCATCATTGAAAACAAGTCTCTGGACAGGCACGATTCTGCAGAGCATCAATATGGAAGCTGGAGTTGATAGCACTAGCAGCTATAGCGGATACTGTAGATTTTGCCTGTCCAGTGCTCCAATCACGAAACAGAATTGCCGGCTCAAGTTGCTTTTCTCAATGACATTATCATCTGTTATAGTTAGCCCATATTTGCCCATATATGTTTTCTATCTTCCATAATGTAAATGCTTTACGAACACAAGAAACCCCCATTAAAGCAAAGTTCTTCAAGAATTCACATCCAAGAGCACCAGATCCCACAACAAAAATATTAGAGTCTCGCATCTTCTTCTGAAGCTTAGAACCAAAAAAAGAAATCTGATCATCATAGCGGCTATTCAATGGCTTCAAGTCTTTAGGGTCCAATGCATACATACTTCAGCTCTAGATTGTTGTTTAATTGAGCTGAAAAATCCATTTGTGATTAGAATTTTGTGTGCCTTGTTCTGCTAGTTGAGTTCCTGAAATGAAATGGGATGTCAGCTTTGAGGTGGAGCACTTCATGTTTTCTGCCAACAGGAGCGCCCACAGATTACAAGCTAATATCTGATTTTTGCCTTTTGTTTCAGGTGTGTGATCATTGATTCATATGATTAATTAATTGGTACTTGAGATCATTGATCACCGCTTTCCACAATGATCAAGGAAGTTCAGGATATAGGTATGGATGTTAAACTGTGAGGGGAACCTTATTTGATTGTTCATAGACCATCATCTTTTGTTTCAGGTATGTTTGCTTCATTATGATGATCTGATATTTGAGAACAGGGAGAGCCATGGTGTTCCACATGACTCAAGCAAGTGACTATATATATGATTCTAAACGATCAGGGCGATCTAATTGGCCAATCTTTCTGGAGCATTTGTGCTTTATCATGCAAAAGTTCAAGCCGTTAAGAGCATGCTGTTAGGTTTATACACAGAAGATACTGCTATATTTAGTGAGATTGCCTTTTACAACGATAGTGCAGAACTTCTACCAAGGATAATCACTAACTGTACAAATCATTTTAAGATTTTGTTCTATTTAGTAAACACTGAATCCATACAGATTTTCAAGGTTAATCAATAAAGATAAAAATATCCATGTTTATTTATGTAGCTTATTGCGTTGATGTGATTCCAAATATTAGAAATACGATATTCATGTTTGCTTTGCCCTAAATGTAAAATACTAAAAAGGTCTGGGTGCTACTTCAATTGGAATTTTACTGTGTTTTCCTTATAATATATACATACTATGCCTTGCAGGAGTACTCCCTTCTCCCAAGATAAATTGCTTCATGTGTTCCATGGTGTAATTAAAACAGAGAGAAACATGCTAGACTCAATAATTTAATAAGGTTTTGATGGGAGCCTTTCTTCTATTACCCCTGTTCCATTGCATAATGTGTAGAGAAAAATGTAATGGTGTCTATTTTTACTCGGATGTTGCATCCAGCGGAGAAAGATGAGTACTATCCCCACTCCCCAGCAGTAACAAGTAATGTTAGTCTCTGTATTGCTTTCACGTCTATTGTGATGGAGTTTCTATGCAATTATATGTAGTGATTAGTTATGCAATTCTAGCCACAAGCTTAGCATATATTATATACTTTGGTTTGTACATACTGCATAAATATATGGCTCAGTAGAAAGCCTTGGAAGCATTGCACTACCAGTGCCCATTCCATGCTACCATTGTGTACATAGACAAGAAGTTTGCTTCAGAAAGAGGAGCATGCTTGGTGTCATCTCCTCTGGATTCTACTGTTGTATGTATCCTTTATAAAAAAAAGCTTTTGACACCATGATGCTGATCTGTGCTGCCATTTTGTTATTTTTCTTTAATTAAAATACCAAGATCTGTATTCTTCCATAATAAGCTATTCAGCAGGATTTTTGAATCATTTTTAAGATTGCAAACCACACCATTCATGGCAAGGAAGAAACTCCATTTACTGCTGAGGACCAAAGCATACAACAGATCGATTTACTTGGTGCGAAGAAATTGGCAAGGACCACAACTTGGACATAATAGGAAGTGGCGGTAATAGTTTTTAGCTGTAATAATTTTAAAAAGCACGCCCTTGTGTTAAAATAAACCTCCTTTACAGTTAATGTATTACTGAAAATTTTAACACATCCACCTGCACGGGTTGATGACTAGTTCAAATAGTAAGAATATTACCGTTGAAAAACAGGTTATTTCCTACATAGCACTGCATAAAAGTTTTGAGCTCTTAATACTAGTGTGTAAACCTTATGTCAGTAGAGTTCTGTTAAATCACATGAAAGTTGTCATTATTATCCTTCACTTTGGTGCCAAACACGGATAGGAAGTTATTGCCATTCACAATGCTGCCAAATGCGAATTAGACTGGTCTTTATATAAACTACATGGCTCTAACAAGAGATTAATGGAATGGTGTTAACAGAACCCAAAATTGTTATCCACTAATACATAGGAACTAATATATAGAGAAAATTGATTTAATTGTGGGGGGGAAACTCAAATTATTAATCTATAATACAACAAAAAAATGACAATAATCAAGCCAAAAATTATGCAGTGATACATAGTGAAAAGTTCATAACTTAATATATAGAGAGAATTGACATAATTGTGGGACAACAACTCAAATTATTAAGCTGTAATACAACAACAAAATTGACAGTAATCAAAGTCAAGAACAAGTGTGCAAGGTCTACAATGGCATCACTAATAAAAAGTCACTTACTAGAAAAGGGAGGGTGTTATCCAAACCGGAGAAGGCCAGTTCATCCAGGAATTAGTAAGCAAATCACTATCAAAAGTCTGCAGGCTCTTGTTTTCTATATCCCAAACTCCGATTTCTCGCCAGTTATGCTTACACATGTTGACATACTCAAGAGGGTCATCTGTGATATAGACACAGTTCGGCTTCAGTGCTGGGAAATCTTTCGTGGCAAAACACATGGTGCTATTATAACCAAGGAATAGTGCATGATTCGCTAAGCTTGTCAACTTCACAAGTGCCTGGTTCTCAAGGTCAACCTTATAGACCTCTATTTCAGTTGTTCTCAGCTCAATATACCGGTCTATCTCATCTTCGTTGTGACCCAGCAGATCTCTAGGAAGCTCCACAGGTGTTGACGAGTCAGTGTAGCTCCTCCACCTCCATATTTGCAAAATATCACCCCATGGAGCTTGCAGGATGTACATGCTAGAAGGATCCTTTCCCTTCCTATCTCTGCGCATGATCTTTTTGACAACAAGAGATGGCCCATTGAAATTTAGGGTGAAAACCGATCTGTGGCTGCGAAGCACATAGAACAAACCTTGGACCTCATTGTAGAAAGAGTCCATGAAGCCCCAGCTGATGCCCATGAGCTGGTGGTCGTCAGGGGAGATCCACGTCCACCGCTCGTCGCCGAGCCGGGCGTAAGAGAGCTCGCCGTCCGGCATGTGCACCAGCAACACGATGCAACTGCCTTCCAGCCGACGGGCTGCAGGAGAGGGTGACACGGTGGTACATGCAGTCCCTGGCCTCGCGAGCGTCAAAGGGGATCGGCTCCGGATCACCGCCCTCAAAGACATTGTACGTGAGGCGGCCTTCGGCGTCGGTACAGCTCTCGACATGGTGGAGGGTGGTGATGGGCGGGAGCGCGGCGTGGGCGCCCGTGATGGGATTGAGAAGGTGGAGGTTCGAGGCCTCGTCGGCGGTGACGAGCCAGCCGTGCGCGGAGCCGACCGTGGAATGGCGGGTGAGCGGGGGCAGCGGAAGGGGGACTTGGACGGAATCGCCGGTGAAGGGGCAGCGGACGACGGCGCCGTCTGCGGCGGAATCGCGGCATGCGTAGAGCAGGCAGGGCAGCTGATTCCGGGGGATCGGAAGGGGGAAGCGATGGCGGCGGACGGCTAGGTAAACAGCATGCCACGAGACGCAGACAGCACCTGAGCGGACGAGGTCGGGGATCTCCAGCTCCCGCATGAACATCAGGAGTATTTCCTCCGGCAGCCCCGCCCAATCGCGATCGTAAGAACCGGCGGCGGCGGCGGCGGCGACGGCGATTGCGAGAGCGCCCGCCATGGTCGGTGGCGGAGATGCGCGAGGGTTTCCTCTGTGGATCTACTTGTGTCCTTGGGCCGTTGACACATAAACAAGGCCTACAGCCGCATCCGATTAGAAAAGATGCCTCGCGATGGAAGAGTGGAAAATGGCTTAGATAACACAAAAAGGGCCGCAACTATTTCTCGCGTTACGCGCGAGAGGAGCCACGAAACTGAAGGGATGGCCCATTGAAACTGAAGGGAACCGCCAGTTGGACGGCCCATGCGCGCAGGAAACTCCAGCCTGTTTTCTGTGTTTTTTTCACGTTTTTTTTCGTTTTTTCTTTCTTTTTTACTTATTTTATACTTAAAAAGTATAAAAATGTTGAAAACTTATTTGATTGACAAGTATTTGAAAAATGTTGAACAAATATTTATAAAAAAATTGTCGATCATGTATACAAAAATGTTGAACAAGCATTTGGAAATGTTGAGCAAGTATTTGAAAAAATGTTGAACAAGTATTTGAAAAAATGTTGATCGTGTATATATAAAATGTTGAACAAGTATTTGAATTTTTTTGAACAAATGTTTTA